GAGAACCAGCAAATGAAGATTGTTACAACTGACCACATCCCAAAGGAGAAGGTAGACTAAATTCATTTTCACGTCTTCAGAGTTTGGGATACCATCTTGAGTCATTGAGATTGTTCTTCTGACTGGGTTTCTTTGTATGTAGGTGATACTGATTGACATTCTGCTTCATCTGTGCTGGTTGACTATTCCCAGACAAATGAACATGAAATGTTCAAGTGTGCTTACTTTTGCACCCAAGGAAAGTCGTCCTTGAAATAAAAGAAGAGCTGGACGATCTGATTTCTTTTTTCAGTTTCTATGATAGTTCATTGGCTATATTTACTCATTAATTAATTAATTTAAAATGTTTCTTGATTACTGTCATGTGCCAGGAATTATTCTGGGTCTCAGATTTAAAAAAAAAAAAAAAAGTGAAGAAAAGCTCTGCTCCCATTGACCTTACATTCTAGTGGAGGAGAAGAGAACTAGACAATTAAACAAATAAGATAATTTTACATAGTTGTAAGTACTATGGAAGAAATGAGCAGGATGGTATTGTGTAGGATAATCAGGAGAGGAATACTTTAGATAGATGATCAAAAAAACTGCTCTCTAAAAATATTGCAAAATTTCAGGGCCATCAGCTTTGTCATCTAATAAGCACCTATTTGTTGTGGCCAATTCTGGAAATTAGTGTTTCTCTCAAGGTCCAGTGTTGAAGATGCCCATAATCCACTGATCCTCATTTTTATATACAAACCAGATAACTCTCACCAAACAAATAAACAACATTGTTCGAATTTGGACTTTGGCAGGCATGTGGTAAATATTCATTTGGAGACTAGCTGAAGACTAATCAACAATTATACTTACTGAGTCATCTAACTAGATACTGTATGGAAGATGAAATGCATACCAGAAAAATTAAATACTATAGATTCTGCCTTTGAGGAATTTTTCATATATTAGGAAGCATATCATCTATTGCTTGGAATATTTCTATAGCACCTAGGCTATCCAGAATAGAGCTTTACATTTTACAATGCAATGCTCACTGCAATTCTATGAAGTCAGTGGTGTATCCTTATTTTACATAGCAGAAAAATGAGGTTTCAAGGGCTTATGCTACTTGTCTAAGGCCACTTAAGTACTGGAATAAGAAGCACAGTCTAGACATGAACTCAAATTTTCTAACCTAAGTTATGATGCTTCTTTCATTTTCTCACATTGTACTAAGTGGAGTAAAAAGAAAGGAGGGCTCATCTCTCAGATTTTCCTTAAGGTATAAAGCATGGTAGGAATGTAGAGTAGACCTATTATCCTAGAGTGAGTCAAAGCTGGTTCTGAAAGAAGTGAAACCTGTTACTGGACTGTTGTAAGGATTTCATTGCATTTATACCATCTTAATTTCACAGTCACCCAGTGAAGTTCTTCAAGACTCCATTTAAACCTCTCTTCCAGAGCATTCTAAGCCATTACAGCCTCCAATGACAAAGAGTACCCAATTCTGGACTCAGATTGCTCTACTTCAACCTCACTTTGTTGATGGAGTCTTGTGTTGTTCTCAGTAACCTCTGTTCATGGTACAGCTCCCCAACTAGGTCCTACAGAACATGTGGGCAGAGCTGTGCCTCCCATTTTGATTCACAGCAGGTAATAAACTAGAGTCTGCTAATAAGAAGGAGAAAAAGAAATGGCCTTATAATCTCCATTTTACAGATCAGAAAACAGAGACCAAGATACATAATGTGGCTTCCTCAGTGACTCAACTACTTAGAGCCAAAACCACATCTAGACACAACATCTTCAGAAAGCCGTTATGTATTCTCTTCCCAAAATGCTCCAGCCCTATAAATCCCATCTCCCCCAAACTACCCCACAGGGATCCTTGGCATTGAGAATTACCAAAGATGTAACAAGCCCTAAACAGGAGGCCTGTGGTGCAGATCTGTCTTAGCAGTTGAATAATCCAGGAAATGTATTTTGTTCAATCGACTATACTTACTCAGTGCCAACCGCATGCACTTATGAGCACACACACATACGCATTGTTTTAGGCCTTTCAGGAAAAACGTATTATTATTATTATTTTTTTTTTTTTTTTTGAGACAGAGTCTTGCTCTGTCACCCAGGCTGGAGTGCTGTGGCCGGATCTCAGCTCACTGCAAGCTCCGCTTCCCGGGTTCCCGCCATTCTCCTGCCTCAGCCTCCCGAGTAACTGGGACTACAGGCGCCCACCACCATGCCCGGCTAGTTTTTTGTATTTTTTTTTTAGTAGAGATGGGGTTTCACCGTGTTAGCCAGGATGATCTCGATCTCCTGACCTCGTGATCCGCCCGTCTCGGCCTCCCAAAGTGCTGGGATTACAGGCCTGAGCCACCGCGTCCGGCCGGAAAAACGTATTCTAATTGTGCAACATGTTCTATGAATTTGGCACTGTGATAAGCTATATATATATATATATATATACACACACACACATATATATACACACACACACAAAATTCATCTTCATAAAAGTACATTTTGTAACCTAATTTAACATTCAAATAAAGTGGCTTCCCCAGGGTCATACAGGTGGCCAGTGGCAAAGCCAAGATTGCTTCATTTCTTCAGTGAATATTTACCAGGCACTGGCCCAGCCCTAAGGATCCTGAAAGGAGTGGCCAGGCTATAATCCCTGTTTTCTTGGAGCTCATGTTTCAGGGAAAGAAACAGATAATAAATCTATACGCTAATAAATTAACAAGACAGTTGCCACTGGTTATACCTGTTATACGATCACATGAAGTGGGATAGTCAGGGATACCTCTCTATGTGACTACCCAGACCTGAGATCGGAATGACCAGGAGACAGCCATGCCAAAATTTGTCATAACTTTCCAGGCAGAGAGGACTACAGGTATAAAGGCCCTAAAAAGAGAACAAAGTTGGCATATTAAAGGGGCAGAAAAAAAGACACATCTATCTGGGGAAGTGTGAATAAGAGGAGACCAAGAAGAAGAGGTCAGAGCGGTTGGCTGCGATCAGGTTATGAAGAACTTGCTGGCATGGTAAGAAATTTGGATTGTATTCCCTGTGATAGGAAATCACTGCAGGCGTCATCTTTACATATGATTGTTTTTAGAAACAGCCCTTGTCCTGTTTGTTTTTCCCTTTCAATAAGCAAGTTCTCTAAAACTAGAGGCAATATTGAAAAAGTAAAATAGAAGAAACAAATTTCTAACAGACCAAGATGCTACATGCTACAATTAGGCTAATTTGGTTAGACTTGTCCTGGAATGAGGCATTCCGTTAAAGGAAAATATATCTTACCCTTACATACCTTTCAAACTATCATAACATGCTGCCTGAATCACTTCTAGGAACAGAAGTCTAGCATTATAGTTGAAACCCACACACACAATTAGAACTTCTAAGATTTGTAGTACACTAATATTTCTTATTTTCTTTGCAGGCAGATCAATAATCTGATAGGAAGGTTGTTGTAAGCCGGGGCGTGGGTGATGTGACCCGAATGACATTTGAAGAGTTTCCCTATCTGCGTCTGGTGAATGGTCTGTAGGGTCAACAGTGAGAAGAGGATTGTCGCCCTTGAATCCTGGGCTCTCTGCCTCAGAAGGCAGATGTTCCTTTTTACCTTGAAGAGACCTCAGTTCAGGAAGGATAAGATCTGACATGAATATCAGGTGGACAGTGACAGTGAGAGAGAGGGGATGCCCGTGGCCCACCTGTTTTTCTATCTCTAGGTTAAGGAATTGGATTTAGTACCTTCCTGTTCTCCAATGCCTATGTTTCATCTGAGATACCCATGGGCACCAGGGCCCACCCTGAACACTGACATCAATCCCACCTTTCTTTGTGATATGTTCCATGTTTATGTCCCTTCACTCCCACCCTGCGGTCATCTCAACCCCCGCCACCCCAGCCTGTTATGTGGTTCTCATGTCTCACTCTGTTTATCCCCCTCGTCATGCTCATACATTCATGGAGAAGAATTTAGTCCTTCCTCCTTCCTAAGCACCTGTTCTCAGACACCATGCAACCTTGACAAAATCCCACTTCAGAGTCTGGGTAGGCAGGACTTGGCCAGCTGAGCCTCCCACAGTCTCCTGAAGAGGGGAGGCTGTGATATTCACTGATGGCCTGCATTCTGAGAAGGACCCTCTGACGATCTGAATGGGTGCCAATAAGAGGTGCAGCAGTCAATGGGGTAAACCCCACAGGACCACTTCCCTGCTTTGCCACACAAAGCCAAGTTTCCCAACCTTAGAGGAACCAGGGCAAAAAAAAAAAATAAAAATAAAAATAAAAGCAAAACCCCAAACGATACCAAAGCAATAAACAAGCAAGCAAAAGCTTCCTGTACAGACTCTCAAAAACCCTAGCAGAAGCCCTGCAATTTTCATATCAAATTATTTAACCTTCTTAGGGTCAGTAAGACTGAGTTACAGTGGTAAAACAGCTGGTAATTGCCTATTAGATTTATACAGGAATTATGGGGACTTCTGAGCATTCCCCTCAACTTGACCCAGCCAGAGCTACTCAGCTCCACAAATGACCCTGCTGCTGCTTCTCCTGGGTTACCTGAATAGACTTTTCCATGTACAGAAGAATAAACTGAGATTAAGTCATTTACTCAAGAGGTCACACCCAGCTGAACATGGTGTTGTACACCTGTAGTTTCAGTTACTTGGGAGTCTGAGAAAGAAGGATTGCTTGAACCCAGGAGCTCGAGGCTACAGTGAGCTGTGTTTGAGCTACTGTACTCCAGCCTGGGCAACAGAGTGAAACCCTGTCTCTTAAAAAAAAAAAAAAAAGACATCTGCAAAGAGGTCACTCACATCCTGCTCAAATGTAGGTAGCCAGGGGCAACAGAAGGATCTGAGATTGGAATCAGATAGAACTGGATCCACAACTCCTCACTGCTACATACGTCCTGTGACCTGAGACCTTAACCTTTACTGAGGATCTTGAATGATGGATGGACTGGGATGGGTATAAAGAAAGGAGAGGAAGTACAGAGGGATAATTGTAAGCTTTTAATGATATGACACATGTAGAAACTCTGGCACATAATAGGTACTCCATAAATGCTAGTCTTCATCTTCCTTCAAAAAACAAGCCTAACCCAAGTATCTATCTTAGCTTCTAACCCAAGTTCTTCTCTGTAAGATTCATCATGGTGTGTCCTATAGAACTTGTCCAGATTGAAGACAATTCCTTCTATTTTCATTTATACCTATATAAGACAAAATGAGTTAGAGAAAGATCATAGAAATTGTCTGATACAACCCTTTTATTTTACAGATCAGGAAAACTAAGGCTGAGAAAGAGAAGAGCTTGCTCAATGTCACACAGGAAGTTGGTAGGACAAGAATCTAAGTCAGTGGAGAGAGATATATTTTATATATATCACATATATATGTTAGATAACATATAACTTTTATATGTATGAGATGTTATATATCATATATTATACATGTCATATATCATATATAATATGTATGTTATATATGTCATATAACATATATAAGTTTTATATATAACATATATAAACATATTACTGAGCACCAGTAATTTTCCTAAAATGGAATCACCTCTAGAGTAGATAAAGTTTCAGATAATTAACATTATATATGACATATATGACTTACGTATGTTATATATATTATATATATCACATATATGACTTATATATGTTATATATGATATATCATATATGACATATATGTTGTATATTTTATATATATAAAATATAAAGAATGGCCTAAGGACATGGGAAAAAACTATAAACAGCAACAATACGGTGACAATACCTACAATTTGTGTATCCTTTCCTATGTTCTTAACATGTATTAACCCATGAAATCTTCACAATAGGCTTGTGCACTACATTCTAATAGTGGCCCCTGTGTAATAGCTTTCCAGAGTTTTACAATGATGAAGTCACAATTGGAACCTAAGACTCCTGGACTCTAAAGCCCTGCTCTTATTCACCATGCTGGACAGCCTCCCTTCTTCATTTACTGAGCACCAGTAATTTTCCTAAAATGGAATCACCTCTAGAGCAGATAAAGTTTGAGACAATTAACATTTTACTAGGGAGAAATGAAATATAGACATGAAATAGTGATTTATAGCAATCAAAGACAACATACTCAAAGTGATGAGATGCTGTGTTATCCAGGTTTGAGAGAAGAAAAAAAATGAATATGGTTAGAGAAGTGAAGGAGGTCTTTCCAGAGAACATGTCACTTTAGCAGGCCTGCAGAACAGTTCTGCCCTGGGAGCCTATGCTGGTGTGCCCTGTTTAAGTGGTGTAGTGGTTTTAAAATTCTTTGACACTCCTCCCTTCAAGAGGCAGAGTTTAGATTTCCCCTTCAATATGAGTAGGACTCGGTAACTCACTTTTAAGGAATAGAATATGGGAGAAGTAACAATGCTTGACTTTTCAGACTAGGTCATTGTATTACTCCATTCTCACGCTGCTATAAAGAACTTCCTGAGACTGGGTAATTTATAAAGGAAAGAGGTTTAATTGACTCATAGTTCTGCATGGCTAAGGAGGCTTCAGGAAATATAGTCATGGCAGAAGAGGAAGCAAACATGTCCTTCACATGATGGCAGGGAGAAGTGCCTACCAAAAAAGAAAAAGCCTCTTATAAAACCATGAGATCTCCTAAGAATTCACTCACTATCACGAGAACAGCATGGAAGTAACTGCCTCCGTGATTCAATTACTTCCCACCAGGTCCTTCCCATGACACCTGGGGATTATAAGAACTATAATTCAAGATGAGATTTGGGTGGGGACACAGCCAAACCATACAAATCGTAAAAGGACCTGTGGCTGCTTTCCTCTTTCTTAGATCAATTGCCCTCTGGAACGCCAGCTGTCAGGATAAGGGCATACTCAACAGCCCTATGGAGAGACACACAAGGCAATAAACAGAAGCCTCCTGTCCATCACCTATAAGAAACTGAGATCTCTAGCTAACAGCTATCCTTTTTGAAGAGGATCCTCCATCCCCAGATTGACATCAAGTCTTTAGTTAACTGCAGCCCTGACTGACATCCTGATTGTAACCTCACGAAAGACACCAAGCCAGAACCACCCATCTACGCTGGTCCCAAAATCTCTGACTCATAGAAATTGTGAGATAATAAACATTAGTTGCTTTCAGCTGCTAAGTTTGGGGGTAATTAGCTGCACAGTAATAAATTATTAATCCAGATGACAATGTATATATATTGAATGGATGTGAAAAATAAAGAGGATGAAGAGAAGAAAGTCAATTACAGATTCCACGTTTTCAAACTGTAGTTCAAACGTTCTGAAATCCCTATGAGGCAGGTTAAGCTGGAGTTAAGTGCAGGAAAACAGTTTCTCCAAGTTAATAGCCAGGGGCCAATTTTCTGAAAACTCAATCAGTAAATTTACCAAACAACTATCCAGGGTCACTATGTGTCATCCAGAACGGTGAATACTAACTAATCTTTCTCTCAAGGGAAGTCAAGTGGCCCCAGACTAGAAATATTCCTCTCCAATGTTCCTAAGGGCAGTGGAAAAAAACCAAGGCTTCTCATGTGTGATCTGACTTTGTAATTACAACTTCAGGTAGCAATCATTAAGCACACACCCCACCCCTCAATTTACAGATAAGCATCTACCTACATGCACACACATCAGCCAGCAAAACAGGATTCATTACCATTGCTGTGTCCTTCATCTGGGTCACCCATCACAGAAACATCCACCATACCATGATCTTAAAGAAATTATTACCATTTGTGGCTCTAAACAGGACCACATTATTTTCTACAAGTGTCAATTTCCCCTGCAATATTACATTTTCCAACATTTAGTTTTTTAGCATTTTGCCGTGACTATCTGTGTAGATTAGAAAGGTTCTTAACTGTTATCTGTAATAGATTTTGCCTGTAGCAAAATTCATGCAGGCATAATAGAAGAACAAAGTGTACTCTGATGAAATTGCAACCATAATTTCCAGATGCCTGACATTTATTGCTTATTGCTATTAGAATTCAAGTGCCTATTTGTTTTGTACTTTGCTTTTATTCTTGCATCACAACATATAATGGAAAAAAGATATTTTAAGTGTTGGGTTAAGTATCACAGATCAACACGAGGCACCAACATAATCAATACTACTTAAACATACTCCCAGGCAATTAATTTTTAAAGAATCAAATTGGTGTACCACATCAAAATTTATAATGATACCGTAAAGGGTGTTACATTCTTTATTGTTTAATTAAAAGCAACATTTAGCACTCATGCAGCTAACTGTTAAGACATCACAACATAAAAGGTTTTCCTTATCATTATGGTGAGGGAGGTACAACTCACTCTTTACAGTACACCTTTGATTACTAAATGTTAATTATACTTTGCTAGCCAATATTAATTTATCAAATTATCAAAAAAAATATGTAAAGGGCTGTAAGAAGCACAGCCCATCCTACAGTGACCAGTGCATCCATGATACTTCGTAAGTGGATAAACATTAGCATCTTAAGAGAAAACAAATGGGTTTGATGGCTACTGTGTTGATGAAGTTGAATCTGGAAAATGACATAAAGCAAAACATGCAGAGCTTCAGGGAAAGACACAAGAAAATGAATATATAAACAGAAAGAAGAGACCCAGGAAATAAAAGCAAACACAGAAAATTCTGCTGACATATTCCAGCTTAAAAAAAGAACAGAAAAGAAATGCATTTTCTAACCTTGTGGGTTTAGACAGATACAGAGGCCTGAAGATTTGAGATGGGTAGATGATGCCATCAAAATCAGGTTAAGATATTTGCCCAATATACAGGGCACTGCCCAGATGATGAAACTGTATTTAGGCTCTGAAGAGACAAAATGGCAGGTGGAATGAGGGTATCTCACCTCAGTGGTCAAGTTCATGCACCAGTTAGACTGAATTAAAGAATGTCAAGTGAGCCTGCAAAGAATGTAGAGACCAACTAGGCTCTAACACAGACCCTTTTTATTAGTTTCCCATCAGCAGCTCCATATTAGGAAAAATGTTGTCTAATAAACTGCACACTCCAGAGCCATTACACAACTTCTATTGATCTTTTGTAATACTGAAAGTAGCTTTTGGACTCCAAGACTGCTGTCCAGACCCCAACCCAATGTGTGCTACGATTGAAAACTGATGCCTTCCTAATACTGATGACAGCGAAGATTGACTCCAAAGATGGGAGTCACACCCAGGAAGCATCGAGACACTGGCCTGGTATATAAAGGCAGCCCCACGTGTAAGTACTTTCTATAGAGAAAGGACCACAGCCTCATGAGCTACCAAAAAGTCTGCCTGGCCAGACATCGTGCAAGTTTACACATCCTCCTTGGAATTAGCTGAATGACCATGTAACAGGATACACTCCTTCAGGGCCTGGGTTCTGACATGACTTCTGGGTAACTGTTCTCAGAGGTTTATATGGCACTGGAGGATTCCAAAGAAACAAGTCACCACCACTCCGCTCAAGGAGCCTACAGAGAGCATGCCTGCGTGGCAAGACAGCGGAGTTACACAGAACCCTGCAGGTAGGTGAATAAATCACAACTACTTTAATTTCTGTAGCTGACCCCATCTTCTTGATAGCACCTCATCCCTAGTCAAAAAAGGGAGGGAAGTGGAGAGACTCATGTCATCTATTGGTATTTCAGTTTCTTCTGATTCAAGTAGTGTCTTTGAGGTAATTGAGTCTTTTTCTGTAAACAGATTTTGGAAATGTCTTTGTGTACCGTGTGTGTGTGTGTGTGTGTGTGTGTGTGTGTGTGTGTGTGTGTGTGTGAATGCAGCAGATGGGAGTGCTGGATTCAATTCAATCAAACAATTCAATCAAAAAACATTTCTTGGAACTTTAATGAGTTTGAATACAGGCTTAGGATGGTGGATCTAACCGCATAGGCAGCCTCTATTAATACAGGAACAGAGGCACCAGGATAAAATAGCATTTTAGGAAAGTGATTCTAGTAGGATTAATAGGAAAGAGCAAAAATTACAGTTCTGTAATCCAGGCATAGGTTAATACAGCAATGCCATGGTAGTGGTAGCAGCGGTGGAAATGAGACATGGGTCTAAGAAATACTTATGTGGAGGTCAAGGTGTAGGAAGGAAAAGGACGAAGAAGAGAGAAGAGAAAGGGAACATGTTTGGCATTAGAAATGAACAGCCTGGTTGGGGTATTTCTTTGACATATTACATTTCGAGAGTCAACAGGACTTGCAAGTAAATATTTTTTTCTAGGTATCTGGATTTTTATGACATGTATTGCAATTAAAACTATGAGAATCACTAATGCTAAACCACTCTATTTGATAGTTCCCTGAAACTTAAAATAAATCTAGGCAGGAGAATGAAGGATCAGAGAGAAGACTCTGTCCACCCATCCTAACTTCCATTTCTCAAATTGCTGAATGACTGAACACAACAGGACGGTAACTTTTTTTTTGGAAGGTAACTTTTTAAATGAAATGTCTTAGACATTAAAAAATAAAGATATGGAGAGTAATATAATCAATTTTCACATAAACACAAGAGGATCATTTTTGAAACGTGCTTTGAAGAACAATTAATTCAAGGGGTACATGCTAGAGCCGCTTAACATCAAACATGGCATTCTTCTTCATCAATCCTGCAAACATTTTCTGTAAAGAATGTTCTGTGACTGTTTTACTCTTTTTTTTCTATGAAGTGAGTCATCAGATCCCAAAATTGTCTTAATTTTTTAGGAGAAATAATACATAAATGCGGTTTTAAGATCCAAAAAGCACACAATGTTATAAAATTTTAAAGTACAAGGCTCCCTTCTTGCCCAACTCTGCATTTCAAAGAGAAATATCATAAATTTTCTCATACACCCTTCC